ATTGTCCATAGTGTTACCAGGAATGTTTCCGTTCTATGGTACAAATTCAAGCTCGATAGTTAACTACGTGAAGCATATGCGATATCCATGAATGGTTTTGCTAGTTGGGTGACTGTAAGTCGGAGAGCGGGAAAAGTCTCCTACGGAAGGGTGAATGGCGTGAAGACAGCCCTCGAAGCTACCCATCGCTAGTCGTGAATTGGATTGAGCGACATCCTGTTCGAGAAAGTCAAAGTGCAAAGCATTGCGAGATGAGTGCAAGTAATATACAGATGAGCCGAAACCACGACTTACATTTGGTTGATAGGTTGTATGGGTCGCTCCCATCAGGGTCACTCGTACCATACATGTCACTGTCAAAAAAGGGAGGGATCAGAACTTCCGAACTCAAGTCCACACTCTTTGTAAAAAGGATGACATAAAGGAGCTCACTGGACTGGACAAGCAGCAATGAATGTAGTAGCCATCATGAAGAACAAGACCATAACTCTTAAAGCTGCCATCTCTCGATCAATTGATTGACAAGACGTAATTCTTAGGAATGGGAACAATGGGTTTAACTACGAGTGTCGATGGATAGGAAGGAAAAGAAATGTTCTTGATTGACCAGTCAAGGTCATGTGCGTCTAACGCTGACTTTATATACTCCAAATTTCCTCAAGTCCAGACACTATGTAATACCACATGCCGGTTTCCTAGGTCAAGATGACAAAGGTAGTCTTTACATCATCACAGCTTTCGACCTCGACGCTGTCACAGTCCATGGACTGAAATCTAGGAGTCATTTCACAGTAGCTTAGTTGCCGATGGCGACGCTTTTGTCAATGTTGAGCGTAGGTACGATCAAACTCAACTCAGTCCTCTCGCTGGAGCAGTTGGTACGGTCCAGTGAGAGGAACTGCAAGTTAGGCTTGAGGTACGATCGATCTTGGTTGATGTGATCTTGACTTTAAGCGCAAGTTGCCGGCGTATGTACACACATACCCCAACTCTTTTAATTTCTAAGAGCTGTTTTATCAGTGATGACACCGCGGGTATCATCGAGTCTCAGGGTTTCAGGAGGAGGTGGCAGTGGAGCGACTGGGTAGCGTAGATCCACCATGATGACTGTCGACGAACGCTTGAGCAGCACCGGTGTCGAGCATTATACATGCTCGGAAACCACACAGGTCTCAAGTATTGCAGCTTCTGATGATCATGGCAAGGGTCAGGTCAAAGAAAACATACATACACCTCCAATTTCAAGACAGTGTTTGTATTTGCTAGCGCCAGTGTTCAAGCTTGATTGTGAGTATCTACCAACCAAGGTTCGAGTACGACATGGTGATGAGTTCCAGCATCCATGAATGTGTACAGACTTGGAAAGTTATGCTGGTAGCGAGTGGGAGAACTTCGTGAAGAGTTCTCCATATTTATGCAATGCGGAATGCAAACATTTTCCTCATCCACGCAAACCAGGCAAGCCGTCGGCGGCGGTCCTCCCGTAAAAACTTATGCGTGGCATACAAGTGTGCTAGGACAGTCGGACTAAGTCCATTCGTATTGTAAGATGCAGTATATAAATATGTCGAGCTCATAAACTCCACATAGAATGGAAGGTGGAAAATATGTACAACTGAAGTAATGGAGTAATAAGATCAAAACAAAGGTTGTAAACAGGGCTGTTGCGATGGACTTTGTTAAGTTAGGTAAACAGCTATCGAAGAGAATTGTGAATATGGCTGCCGATTTGCCAGGAGTGCTGGTTCACACACAGTTGCCACTGGCATCAGAACAACGCAGGTTTTGTCCGTTCCCCAGGGGAAAGTTCGGCGGTGCACTGATAACTAGTCCATTTGGACCGCATTGAGCTAGTCCTGAGCCAGTGGGTGAAGTAGTACCGGGTGGATATATCAGTTTATCATCGCCGATGTACGCCACAACGCCTTGCGTCGAACAGATTGCATACTGAAATAATATGTATGGTGAGTTCAGGACTAATGATTTCAAGGGTTAGGTAATGTGACTTACTGAGTCCGCATTCACAGCCTGAATGAGCAGTAGTACCAGACCGACAGCCAGTGTACATAAAGTCTTTGTTCGGTGCGAGGTTGACATGAAGTTGGAAGCTTGAATAGTGCTCTGAAAAATGAAAGCAAATGACCATGAAAGATCAGAAGAACCCAAAAAATCTCAGATTATAAACAAGGCGAAAACCAGATGTGGAAAGGATATTCACCAGAGGTAATGTGTTCAATGAGAATGTAAGATGAGTATACCTGCTTGAGAGTAAGACGAATTACCGAGGGGATGGAGAAAACAGCGAAGTGAGATACTTTCAGGATGAAAAAAGCCTCGCCGCAGGCGGGCGTCAGCGTGGGACTTTGTCAAGCTCAGATCACTTGTCAATTTGTTCGAAAGATCGCGCAATTCCAACTCCCAGGCAAAGACCTAGAGGCTGGATGATCTACATCACATCCAGAACTGATGTTGATTTCGAGTGATCAACGCTGATCAGCTCTTTGTTCACAGGAGTTCAGTGGCTCGGTCTACCTCGGTGCATACAATCCCAGTAGGATGATATAGGGTGTGTGATCTTGATTGATCCGATTCCCAAATAGAAAAACGATCAATGGATGGTGAACATCAAAACTTTGCTCAAGTCTTTTACCACCTTGTTTGATTAACTCTTGAACCAATACATAACAAAGATCTCAGTATGGTTTGAGGATCAGTCAAATTACAATCTTGCCCCCCAAAAAATAAACAGACTTTGTTTATCAAGAATAATAAGATCCAACTTCAATTACAAGGAGTAGTATCCTCTCATTCAGTCCTTAAAGATTTCCTTTATTGTTTTGTTTGAGATTTTATGAAATTTACATACTTTTTCTTGTTAAATATATAACTCATAAACCCCCACCAATCCTCTTTCAGATATTGTATATTTCCAAACCTCTTCGTGTCCATATATACCAAATAAAAGGCTATGATTTTCACTGGCAAGGAGAAGCTCATGGAATTATTTCTTTAAGAATAAACTTGATTTGATATAACCTCTTGTATTACTATGTGAATCAGATTGATTCAAGAATTTTTATCTATGTTTTACATGAGTTGTCAAAGGTAGTATATTTAATTGTGTTGTCATGTTCATGGGATTTAGTGATGATGGGTTTGAATTTGATGGGTACAAACAACGGTGGCTCGCTAAGCTAAGCTAAGGATTTTCGCCACCTTGGCTTAGCTTAGCTAGAAGCCGCTAAGGAAAAATCCGCTAACGCTAAGCCATTAGCTTAGCGGGCGTAAAATGACACCCGCTAAGCCAATTAATTGGCCGCTAAACCGCTAATAGCGGCTTAGCAACCCTTTTTTGCACGTAAAACATGTATTTTTTTGATAGCTAAGCTCCCGGCTTAGCTTAGCGCAGACCCGCTAAAGGAAAAATCAAAATCCGATTAGCTTAGCTTGAATGCGCTAAGGATTTAGCGCTAGCTTAGCGACAAAAAATCACTAAGCTAATGCACCGCTAAGCGCTAACTTAGCTTAGCCGTGCCACCGTTGGTACAAATGTAGACATATTCTAGTGATCAACATGGTATTTGCCAAATTTATCATTATGGCATTTCTTCATCGTAAATAAAGCTTTACTATTCATAATATCAAATTATTTACTGTGATAGAAAGTCACTTTGTCTGAGGCTTGTTGGGCTAGAGGTACATAGAGTGAAGCCGCAAAGTGGCCCACATAAAGTGTTTTTTTGTGCATTACTGAACAAGAGACTGAGGAAAGTGAAATAAATCAAGAAACCCAAGTTATCAAAGGAAGATAAGAAAGCAAGGGTTAGAGTTGAGGAATAATTTGAACTACACCACAAGGTAACAGTTGATGGAACAATTTCAATGCAGTTGGAAATCCTTCCCAAATTCAAACCAAGATTGGAGAAGGAATCAGAAAGGATTTCAAGAAATTTAGTTCAAGATAGACAAAGGGACTGTTTGGATCAGATGAAACCAAAATTCCCACTTACTTTGGAAATACGACAATGCTGACATCCGAGAAAGTTTACTTGAGATCAAAATAAATGTGAATCTGAGGTTGAAGGTAGTGAAAACTGTCCTGTGCTTACAACCAAATGCCATCATTGTATGACATGTATCATGAATAAATTTGGGAAGATGTATACATTAAGGCCAGTTCAAAGGCATGAAGACCAATCAATGATTTCACCAAGCAGTGGGCTTGTTTTTTTTCACTAACCACTTTCCATTTATTATAATTAGGAGGGTTGATGGAGTTAGAAGATATTCAAGATTTGAGTCTTAAGTATACAGCTGACTCCCTCAAAATCCATATCCCTCTGATCCCATACTTTTGGCTAACCCATAGAAATTTGGGTCCATAAAATTTATGGGCAGGTAAAAGTGGGGCAAAACCCATACCTCACACATTTTTTTTTCAGGAAGCCTAGGTCAAAAGCCATAACCAAAATTTGCCAAAGATGAAGATTTGTGAAAAAAACTGCATCCTTGTGTATTTTTCAGCATAATCAGTCTCAAAATGCTTCCAAAATACCTTTCACATTTCAGTGTATCAGATATTGAAACAGATTTCAATGCCCTACAAACAGAGAATAACAAAAGACTCAAGCCTCTCAAGCAACTTATCAGCAAAGGAAAAAATTATCAGAGGCAGATGAAAGATTCATAGACTGTGCTGGAAACTTGATAGATGAAACACTTGTGTTGAGGAAGATCATAGCAGAAGCAAATGTGGCTAAGGCTGCCAGTAAATTCAACAAAAATGAGCTGAAGAGACTTGAACTTTTGGCTTTGAAATCAATCAGACAAAGGAAGCAGTGATTGCCAAAAAACCAAGTAAGTTGTAACCTTCAGCCTGTAATTGAGTTGTTCACTTGTTGAAAAGATGTGTTGTTCAATGTTTTAGGCTCCAAGAAACGTGTAGCTGAGGAAAGTAAAGGAAAAAATAACCCACCAACAAGTAAAAAGAATAAAGCGGCAAAGGCTCAAACAACTCTGGCTCAGTTAATTGAAGTCCTTGATTGGTACAAACGGAATGGTTGTAATCAATTAGGGTATTCAAAGTTGTTCTGGAAATTTCCCAAAGGGTTTTTCCAGAACATCAGAACCCTTCTGGCATTCAGGAAAACACGACTCACAACTCGCAGCCGTCCTGATCAAGTGATCAACTGATACCCCCACCTCCAGCCAACCAAGCAACCCTTGCAAAAATCCAATGATCAGACCTTTCACTTTGGCCTTTCAAAACCTTGGCCCTTCAGATTTGAAGCAAGTTTTTCAAACTGAATTGAAATGATTGTTGTTAGTCTTGTTTTTCTTTTTTGAAACAATCATTTTTAGTCTCATTTTATTTGTAGTTGGCTTTTCAAACTAATGTGAAGGTGAGCGTGATGATGTGATGAAGTAGCTGATGGTGATGTGGTCGGGTGCTGATGTGAGTGGGGATGAGGGTCAAGATGCTTGAGTTGGGCTGTGTAACTCATGGGGTTTCTGGTGGTTTCTGGCATTTTGGAAGTGTGGTGCATTCAAATTTGCTGAATGACAGAATGCCAGAACACACCAAAAAAGAAACTTCTGCTATTCTGGAAAAACTCTTTGGGAAATTTCCAGAACAACTTTGAGTACCCTAAATCTAAGACTGCACAACACTTTGCTGCAATCTATCCCAAGTTGAACATCAAGCAAACACTCATTTCAGAATGGGTCAGAGACAAGACCAAGATTCAAGGGAATCATTGAGCTGGTCACACTGGACAATGGTGGCTCACTAAGCTAAGCTAAGGATTTTTGCCACCTTGGCTTAGCTTAGCTAGAAGCCGCTAAGGAAAAATCTGCTAACGCTAATCTTAGCGGATTTCTGCTAACGCTAAGCCATTAGCTTAGCGGGCGTAAAATGACACCCGCTAAGCCAATTGATTGGCCGCTAAACCGCTAATAGCGGCTTACACTACGCCAGATTTCAAATTTACCGCTGAGTTTAGAAAATTGAGAAGACATGGAAAATTATATACAAGGCAGAAAGGGTCAAAAAAGTATGGAAAAACAAGGGTTGAATTCTCCTGTGTGTGCCCATCATATTGCATATTTTTACACATTTTTACGGCATCAGTGTATATCAGGTCAGAAACTCAGTTTATGGCCAAATCTGGCAGTCATGGAGGCATTAACCTTGCAAGACCAACAAAATTGTCAATTTTGTGTCAAAGTCTGTAATGGCTGCCCATTCTGGAAGCTACATGTTCATTTTACCAGATACAAATTTGAATGAGTGGTGTGTGTCCAAAAATGAATGAGGTACAGCAATCACCGTCCCCATCAGCAAAGCTAAAAGAGCTTCTAAATCTTTTCTGCAAGGGTTTTATTCATCCAGATGAAAATTGTAGATACAGTCTGTGGCTTTCATATTTTGCAACTGTCAAATGGATTGAAAGAAAATTGTTGTATTTGTGATTGTTCAAAAGTTTCTGCCCAAGCCTGGGTAGTTTTGGACAAAATTTGAGTTTCTGACCAAATACAGCCCAAAATAAGTTCTCTTTGGAACATCTTCCAAAGTCGAGGTAAAAATATGCAAAAATATGCAAAATGATGGACATCACAGGCTGATTCAACCATACTTTCTTCAAATTTTTCCAACCTCTCACGCATTTCTGGAAATTTTCTACATCTTTACTTTTCTAAACTCCATGGTAAATTATTGATTTGGTGTAGTGTTAGCAGCCCTTTTTTGCACTTAAAACATGTATTTTTTTGATAGCTAAGCTCCTGGATTAGCTTAGCGACAAAAAATTGCTAAGCTAATGCACCACTAAGCCCTAACTTAGCTTAGCCATGCCACCGTTGCACTGGATCTCAAAAGAACACAGCCCAGCATCCACACGTTGATGAAGCACTTCAAGCCTGGGTTCAACAGGCTGTCATTGCAGGCTTAACAATCACAGGCAATGTGATATGATCCAAGATAATCAAATAAAAAAGAAAACATATCAAAAAACATCACACAGGATGATCATAAAAGACCACAACAATAACAAATACCAAAACATAACAAATGTAACCATAACAGCCATAATGTAATATTTGATAATCTCCCATCTCCAACACAAAGTGACTGGCCATTCTTGTCTCTATTCCAACAAAGAATTTTTGTCCATTCCAAACTGGTTTCTATTCTTTAAACTATGATTAAAAAATACTTGCTGAAAACTACGCCCAACGCACCTAATGGCACCTTAGACCAGTCTTTCCAGGTTGACAAATAGATACAACCCCAGCCAGAGTTCATAAGATGTTTGTGAATACTTTGATCTAATAATACAATTTAGGGTTTCCCAATATTTGTTTATCTTGATCTAATCAAATCTTATTCCAATTCACAGAACCTAAACCTGATGTGGTGAATTCTAATCTGATCTAAACATTTTTGAGTTTCATCAATAGTGGGACTGGCTAGATTCTGATACTAATGGTCCATAGGACCCAGGGACCCCCCAAAAAAAATTTCACTGGCCCAACATTTGGGACCCATACTTACGCCACCTACTTAGGCCCTTAGGTACTTATCTTGTGTGTCTAAGTACCTAGGTTACGTCTCTAAGTACCTAGATTATGTCCTCTAGGTTTTAGCTTAATTCTTTACAGTCTTAGCTTAAGTTCTTATGGTCCTACCTTTCAGCTCCTCAGTGTGAGGGATTAGGGAGCAGAGCAGCTCTTCAAGAAGAACAAAATAAAAATTTGAAAAGATCAGTTAGCAAAAAAAACAATCACAGGGTATAGACAAGAAGTATGAAAAGCAGTGACCAAGTGCAAGCAATTCCAAGAGTGTTTGTGTAGGGTGTGTGGGATGATTGATGGTGAAGAGATTGATAATTGTAAAGAGCATGAGACTGTAAAAACCTAATATAGTAAAGATCAATTTGAGGTAAAGATTGAGTGAAGGTAAAAAAAGGAAAAGATTGAGATGATGTCAAGATCAATACAATCTAACAAATGAGTTGATTTATTCAAAGTGTAACCATATTGAGAGGATGACAAGAATAAGGAAATGTAATGATGAACAGGAAAAAGTCAAGAAATTAAATAGAGCAAGAAAATAACCAAAAAGTGATCTTTACATTTTCCAATTCATGCAAGCTTTGGTGTGGTCTTGTAAGTAAAAAAAACTACCCATAATTCTTTGTGAAGGTTTTCCACTATCCTCTGTATCAGCTATGTTCCGTTCAATGAACTTGATTCTCTCTACCTGATGGTCTTGTCATTTTTTTCTTGGCTCTCTTTTGCTGCTTGTTGAGCTGTCTTTGCTACACTGACTGCCAATCCATAGTATATGTTGAAATGTCAAATGATGCAGTATCTGATGAGAAAATGCGGCAGCATGTCCTTTAAGCTGACAAATCTGGATTTTTCTTTGATTTGACCAACAATTGGAACTAGGGCCAGCCCTGCGTAAAGCTGTAGTTGAAACTAGCCTTTATGCACTGTAATCTCTTGTAACTTGTATAAACCAGTCAAACAAATTCTTTGTTTCCTGTTCTTCAATCATTCTCTAGCTCATCCTAAAGATCCCAAAATCTATAACCACCAAGCTCAGGTGTTATTGACAAAGTAAAGGCAAAAGATCAAGGGGTCAGTACAAAAACAATCACATATATTATCAAATAAGTGTATGTACTTAACAGAACCATACAATCTTTAAGTTTAACCTTTCAAAGGTATATCACATAATCTAAAACCATATCTGATAAACTTCATTTTTTTTTGGTTAAGAAATCCCCATCACACTTCTTAATTTTTTTTTCCTCTTTTATCTCCAGTTCTTTTTCATTTTTTAATACTTCTTTTTACATCTTTATTTAAAACTTTTAGGAAACCTTTTATTAGTTTACTTTTCTTTACACTTATCTAAAGAAAACAATATCTTATTCTTTATTATTTTTTTAAATCACATTAAATCAGATCAAGTCACATTAAATCAGATCATCTCAAATCACAAAAAAAAAACACAAAATCACAAAAAATCACAAAAAATCACATGAAAACCCACACCAAAAAACCCACACCAAAAAACCCACATGAAAAAAAACCACATGAAAAAAAGTAAAAAGAATCATAAGAAGAATTTCTATACAAGCCATTTAAAAGTAAAGTTTTCAATTTCGGGCATTCTTTCCACAAATCAATAGATTTTCTTCTACTACTACTACTAATTACTACTTCTGATTTCCTTGTTCTATTTATCTTTCCCTTTCCCTTTCCCTTTCCCTTCCTTTCTTTGTTAGTTTACCTTTCGCCTTCAAAAAAATAAATAAATGAAAAAAAATGAAAAAAATAACTCAAAGGAAAAATGACTAAAAGGAAAAATGACTAAAAGAAAAACAGATAACTAAAAGAAAAAAAACTAAAAGAAACACAAATACCTCAAAGAAAAAAAAATGATAAAAAAAACACACAGATCAATAGTGAAACGAAAAAAGAAGAAACGAAATAAGATAATTATAAAAAGTGTGAGAAAAAAAAATCATCATCAAATCTTTTTGACCTATCTATATAATCTTGATTTCTTCTTTTGTTTCAAATCTAATCTTTTATCAAAACCGAATTACAAAAACGAAAAAACTTTTTCAAGACCCAGTCCTTTTCTGATCCCTAGCAGCCTAAACCAAAAAAAAACCAAAAAAAATCAACGCCAAACCTCTCTCAAAACCCCCCTCTCTCAAAGAACCCCTCTCTTTCAAAAAAAAAGTTAAAAGCAAAAAGAGAGACAAACTCTAATCAATGGACCAAGTGATCTTAAATCTTCAGAAACCTTTAAAAACGAATGTTTCAATAAACTCAACCCATCGGGTCTTCTATCCGAATCGACTTCCAAAGTTTCCCACAAAAATGATAATAAAAGTTTTGAATATTTACTTTCATCTAACTTTGGTGTTCCATTAGTTGCAATCAAATATAATGCTCTTAATGGATTATCCGCCAAATCTGATTCAAAAAAAAAACCATCAATCAATCAAAAAAAAACCGTTTTGGGATTCAGTTGATCATCGCTTACATGGTGGTTCTCCTTCTACCATTTCTATACACATGATTCCTAATGACCAAATATCCACTTTCGGTCCATACTCTTTTCGTGTAACAACCTCTGGTGCCATCCAATAAGGTGTTCCAACCATTGTAGTTCGTTTAGCAGATCCTTCATTAATCTGTGCACAGAATCCAAAATCGGCTACCAAAACCCCAACCCAAAAAGACGAAACCATGAATTCTTGATTTTTGATTTCTGATTGGAAATATAGTCAAGATCGACTTACTTAATTTAATATCACCTTTTAATGATAACAAGACATTATCACTCTTAATATCCCGATGAATCACTCCATGAGCATGTAAATGATTCAAACCACAAATCACTTCTCTACAAACCGCTGAGATTTGTCCTTCAGACATGATATTACAAGTCACTACGTCTGTTAAACTACCTCCTTCCATATACTCCATAACGACCCAAAGTTCAATGGATTTCACCAAGAATCCATCAATGAAATTCACAATGTTAGGATGTGATGATGATTTCATCACTACAATCTCATTGATGATTAAATCTTTTTTAGGTTGTTGTGAAAGATTCATTTGTTTGATGGCTACTGATTCATTAGTACCTAACTTATATGCTGTATAAACTCCTCCTGATGCACTGTTAAAAAAAGGTGTTCATTAGCTTTTCAGTTCCACAATTCATACAAGCTTTTTTTCTTATGAGAATCTCTTCAACGAACCCTTGTCCGATCTTCACCAAGTTTCGATACAGTTTAGTAGGATCTGCATCCGTACAGATCGCTCGAAGTCGATCGATGATCTCTTGATCTGAAACCTTTGGAGCTTTTGCTTCTCTTTTCCTTGCAGCAGAAGCCGGAGGATGTGGTTGAGTTTGATGAGAAGTAGTAGTTGGAAGAGGCGCAGATCCGGTGGCTTTCATCGAAGCAGCTTTAGCTAATTTAGATGGAATGATTGAAGATGATGATTTAGGTGTCGGAGGAGCTGCTCGATGTGGATGAGCTGGTAAGTTATGGAGTTTGGCTGGACTAGGACATGCATGTGTGTTGGTGGATTTAGATCGATCGAGTAATGGTTTGGTTAATGGGATCGGACTCGAACTTGCTTCGCTGACTTCTAGTGATGTAGGTCTTGTTCGCGAAACTGGACTGGCGCCTCTTGATGCTTGTCGCGATGGAGTAGTGGATGATTTTCTTGATAAAGTTTTTGTTTTAAGAGGTGGAATAGGTGCAGATCTCTGAAAAAGCAAAAAGAAACAATCAGAACTCCATCAATTTATAAATTCATGATGATAATATAAGACTAACTGGGTTTTCAAAGTTAACTTTTCCATTCTTTTCAATAGGTGATGGTTGATCAATCTCAACTTGTTGATGACCAAACTTATGCCAAACATCATCAAATTGAACTTCACCATCACCTTTAGTTGCATCTTGATAAAACGCTACAATATCTTTCACAGCTTGAGGATGAGCTTCTTGTTCTTGTTTTGAAATCCCAGATTCTTGTAATCTAACTTGCCATTCTTTTGGTAAACCCGTAAACTCTCCTGTATTTGAATTAAATCCTACATGTGTTAGATGAACTGGATCATATGGTGCTGAGACTTCTACTTTTTTTTGATTTGATAATAAATCTATTGGACCATATATGAATCATTAGTGAGTGTGTGTTTTCGATGATTTGAGGATGAGTATGAGAACTTACCATTCATTGAGCTTACTAATCCACCAAAGACAGTCTTGATGGTGTTTTGATTTGATCGAGTTGAATTTTTTCGTATAGTTTTATCTTTATCATTCGAAGAAGTTGAGATTGGATCATGATGATTAAGATTAGAAGAAGGATTAGATTGATTGATAGGATTACTGTTCGGATTAGAATTAGGATGGATCGAATTCGAAGTCTGATTAAGATAATGATTTGTAGTAGGTAAAGCTTTTTGATGATGATGATGATCATGATTGATGATTTGATGATGATTTGAATCTGAGAGATTATCGAGTTGAGAATGATCAGCTAGATAGTAAGCAGCAGCAGCAGCCGTGTTTGGATCTGATAATAAAGAAGTTGAAGTTTTATCATGATTGGTAGTGTTTAGAGTTGAAGATGAATGATCATTCCAAGGAGTGATTGAGATTGAAGAATTGATTGAGTTCTGATTAGGTGATGAAGTGTTGGATGATGAGTTGATGGAAGAAGAAGAAGAAGATGAAAGTGGATTTGATGAAGAAGATGAAGATAAGTGTGGATTAGGAACCATTTTGATTTGATTTGATGGTTGATGGTTAGTTGATAGTGGTTAGTTGATGGTTGTTGTAGTTGTATGCTACTTCAGTCTGTTTACCTTTCTTGGTTAAAATTCCAATTCGATCAATCTTTCACTTTTCAACTTTTCCGATTCTCAATTCATTCATTCTAGAACTTAACTACCCACCCCTAGCTTAAGCTCACATTTCTGACTTCAAACTTAATTCCATTCATCCTTGATCCACCACTCAAAACAGACATCATTGGGATTCATGACAACGCTGATCCTCAACGATTGCTTACTCGCACATAGAAGATATCAAAAAACCAAAACTAACAAAACATCAAATATTTACATGAAGAAGAAATAAAGATGATTGAGAAAATTGATCGGTCTGAGTGATCCTTGAGCTGGGTGTCATACAAAAGGGGTTCTCAAAGTTGGCCCGGTTTCAAGAAAACCCAGTTGACCCGGTTGCTTTTTGGCAGTAACCTTGTGTATCGAGTTGACATTTGTTGACAGATCACAGCCAAAAAGTCAACTGGGTCAACTGGGTTTTTACAAACCGGGCCTACTTTGAGAACCCCTAAAAAGCTTCAAGAAGAAAACTCAATTCACTTTCGACGTAAACTTTTTAACTTATCACTCTACTATCTTGGAAATCTGAATGAAGAGAAACTAAATCCAGTGACAATTTATGTAAAGTATTCCATTCCAAACTATGAAAGTTTAAGATGATAAGCTTTTTGTTTGATATATAGACTACAGTCGCCTCTCAGATAACCGATACACCTCAAAACCGATACTCTTGGAAAACCAATAGTTTTTCGGGCAAATATATTTTATTTGCGGTAAATTTTGTCGAAAAACCAATAAACCTGTCATTTCCGATAACCGATACTTTTTTTTTGGGTTCCCGGGTATAAAACCAATAATTTAGTGGGTCATGTGACTTGTGGTTACGTTTCTTTTGTATTTTTTTTTCTTCATAAGTGGCTCTCAAACCTGCCCCGGTTTTCAAAAAACCCAGTTGACCCAGTTGTTTTTTGGCAGTAACTTTGTGTATCAAGTTGACATTTGTTGACAGCTCCCAGCCAAAAATTCAACTGGGGCAACCGGGTTTTTTGAAACTGGGTCAGGTTTGAGAGCCACTATACTACAGCCATTCCGATATTGCTTGTCGCTCCGTTTTGAAAAAGAAAAGTTGAAACCTAAGTTTTTACTCGATAAAACTTCAAACTCAGCTGTAATTCAAGGCGATACAGCCAAACTTCAGGTTTTAACCGGTTAAAACTTAGGTTTCAAGCTCACAAACTTTTTCTTTTCAAAAAGGTGCAACAAGCAATATCGGAATGGCTGTACATTTTTCATTGCAGAATCTTCACTTCACATCAACATTCATAAGTTCTACAATAATGCTTCCCAAAGACCTTTCCAAGTACACAATCTCTCAGATTGAAAAAGGGTTTAAAACCTTGCAAACCGAGAATGATGCTCGGTTGAAACCTTTGAAAGAACTAATCAGCTCAGGAAAGACACTCACCGAAGCTGATGAACGGTTCATGGATCAATCAGCCAACTTGGTTGACGAGTGGAGGGTGATGAGTCGAATCAAAGAAGTTGGTGATGTTGCTCGCGCCGCCACCAAGTTCAACAAGGAGGAGAAAGCGACATTGGAGGTCCTGATCCTCAAGGCTGACCAGCCTGGTCCAGTGTATTCAAAAGCATTGAATAATACTAGTGAGTCTACATACTTTTAACTTACAGTGTCAACTTCAAGCTCACCCAATGATGGATTGAACTTTGAACTTTCCTTCCAGAAAAGCGTAAATGTACGGACCCTTTACACCCAAAGCCTTCCGCCAAAAAGAAGCCTACAAATACAAACAATAAAGACGTAAAGAAGGTCAACCCGACCCTTTCTCAACGAATTGAGATTATGAATTGGCATCACTCCAATGGGGGGATACAAACCAAGACTGCAAAAAGATTCAAAGAAATCTATCCCAACTTACGATTTGGACAGCCTCGGCTTTCGGAATGGTTGGCTGAAGAGACAAGGATGCGTGCGGATTATAATTCTGGCAGCGGTGTTCATGCCAAGCGAAAAATTCTAACCGAGCATCCCCAAGTGAACCATGCACTTGAGACTTGGGTTACTCAGGCTGAACATTTGGGTCTAATCTTGACTGGCACAATCCTACGTGTGATGTGGCATTGCTTTGCAGACCTCTTCAAGATACCAAATGAGGATCGACTCAATCTTTCTGAGGGATGGTTGACAAGCTTCAAAAGCCGGATAGGACTACGTTCGATTAAACGTCACGGCGAGGCAGCCTCAGCTTCACCTGAAACTGTTTCTGCAGAAAGAGCCCATGTCCGTGCGATCACTGATTCATACAATCTCGCCAACATCTATAACATGGATGAAACCGGCCTTTTTTATGGGTAAGTCTGCAATACCATAGTTTTAAATTTGTTAACAATTGTTGATGTATTTGAAACTTCTGTAGCATGCCTCCCGATAAGGGCTTAGCATTTAATGCAAAGTCCGGGATCAAGTCAGACAAGCGTCGTCTGACGTATGCTTTTGCCACCAATGCTGACGGATCCGATAAACGCCAACCTCTTATCATAGGAAAAGCTAACAAACCTGTATGCTTTCATGGGAAGTCGGGCGAGCAGCTTGGATTTTACTACCGGAACAATACAAAAGCTTGGATGCAGACGAGCCTTTTTATAGAATGGATCGAGTCCTGTGACCAAGAGCTCAAAATAGAGGGCCGCAAGATTCTACTCCTTGTCGACAACTTTTCTGGTCATACAGTCAACCCAGACAAACCTCTAACAAACATTCAACTTGAATTCTTTTCTCCAAATCTCACATCTCACGTACAACCACTTGATGCGGGCATTATTGCCAACTTCAAGTGTTATTATCGGTCTGAATTCATTAATTATGCAATTGATCGTTACGAGCTTGACACCCCAGTTGGCGAGATCTACAAAATCCATCAACTGGACGCTATGAAACTCGCTTCCGAGGCCTGGTATAGGGTCACCAATACAACAATCGCAAACTGCTGGAAAAAGTCCGGCATTCTGTCAGATCAAAATCTAGACGGATCAGTCAAGATCAGCGATGATAATCCACCTTCTGAAGACTTCGATTCAGACCCAATCATTGACGACAAAGCTAGAGAAGCTTTAATTGCTGACTTGGACAGCCTTGAAACTATGAAGATTGTTCATACACCAAACCGCATGTCAATTTCAAATCTCCTTAATCCAATTGGTGAACACTCGAGTGGGTTAGAAGAATGGACTCCTGAAGAGATCGTTGAAAGCATTCAAGAAGAGATGAAAGAGAAGGCTTTAATTGAAAACACACCACCACCGCCTCGACCAACTCATCAAGCATTTCTGAAAGCTTCTGAGATCATGATGGGCTATTTGGCCTATGAGGATACCAAGGTAGTGAAAGGATACGAGCGGGCTATTAGGGCATCTGTGAGATATTGTCGTGTAGTCCGTGTCAAAGCTGCCAAGCAGCAAACCCTCACAAATTTCCTTTCTCAACCTCGTTTGTAATCGCTCACTCACAAATATATCTTTGTCATAAGCAATAGTTTCAGTGCAATTTAAAATCTATCGGTTTTGACAGAGAATTGACAAAACAGATACTTGGTCAAAACCGATAGCTTTGGTCCCAAATAAATGGGTATCGGTTATCACAGAGGCGACTGTAAACTCCTTCTTGATTGATTAAAGACATCTTTTCTTGAGATCTAGTTTAGGCTCCGTTCGGCTGCGCCATCTCATCTGACATCCAACTAGGCCTTCTGCCCAGTCGGGGTCGGGCAAAGAGATTGTCATCCTGATTTTTGGTGACAGATAATGGTCAGATGGTCTCCAGATGTGCAGCCAAACGGACCCTTAGATATGATCAATTGTAGCACGATTTGTTTCTTATTGTTTTCACTCTCATGGCCTTAGAGGAAAACATCCAATTTGACTTCATAAGTATGTAAAGGGGTTCTAACAAATAAATAAAAAATTGTTCAAACCAAATGAGAAAGAGTAATGAAAAGATGAGATAAAGTATAAAAACAAAAAGAGATTAGTATATGGTTGAATTCACAAGAATATAGAATTTCAAGAATGATGCACTTAAAGGAAACCAGATAAAGATAGTTTAGAAAAAGTTAATCTTTTCATGAAGAATAAGGTTCATATTCTTTTTGATTTTTCAAAACAAGGTTAAGATCATACAACTGATCTCATATGATTCAATTTAATAAAATGAAATGACAAAAAATTGTACATATATCTTTTTTTCTTATTTTCTAAAGATCTTGATCCTTTTCCACATTAGTCTTTTTATAACATCATCAATTCACCATATATCAACTTTTTAAACATCTGATAAATAATCCATTCATCATAAATCTTGAAAACTCTGTCTGTCTTTTGGATTGATCTTATCTTGTAATCATCATAAAGAATTCAAAACCAATCAAAAAGAAATGGATGTTTGGTAAAAAGGTAAACAAATCAATTGGTTCTACATTATTGATTGAGAGTCCAACTTGGATACAGGGTTTCTACAACACCCATCCCAAAGCATAACCAGTATGTATGTACAAACTCCTGTGGTCTGTTTATTTTTGCACATTATCCCACCAAAAAATTTAACCTGCAGCACATGTTGATGGTACCCCACAGAATATATGAAGAGGAGCAGCTGTATTGAGTAAAGTTGGTCTGAAGCAGAGCTTGGACCAGGAGCCAGTTTGGGTCAATGGTCCGTATGGATATATGTAGTTGACCTGACATGATTCCCAAAACCTTTCCTGGTTTTGATAGTTGTGTCACTGTCAGTGTGATAGGATTCAAAGGCTTGGCTTTCATTGGGTTTTGTATACTTCTTTTGGTATGCTTAAAAATACTTAAAACCTCTTTGAGATTGGGCTTCACTATCATGTGTGTCAAGGACCATTTGTCTAGAGCTTAGTGGGCTGGTAGTCGTAGTGGATAGAAAAATGATTGGGGCACCACTCATGTCCATGTACATGAGATCTTCCATTGAACCCATGATGTTGACCATAGCTTCCATCCTCTGTAAAAACAAACTTAACAATCTTGAACCTACAAACATCTTGTTTATGAATTTTAGTGCATGTGAAGTTATGATGGTGGATTTTTTCAGTTTCAATAAAAGCATTGATTATATTTAGAAAATCACTTTTGTTTCCAACATATAAGCTTACCTTCAAAGTTCATTCTGATAATGATATTTTGGCTCCCGTATTTCCAATCCCTGTTCTTGAAATCTTTGCTCCAAAAAAATTGTTTGATAAAGTTCTGTGAAATCAGATCTCTTCTTTTTCTGAGTATATGACACATGAATTCTGATTACTAGATGATTTAAGTAAGAATTGACAAAGAAACAAAAGTAAAAAAATTCTATGTAAAAAATACAAAAAATTGGTCTGAGGTTCAAGAAAGAAATTTTTAAGTTAAATTTGTAAGGAATTAAGCAAGAAGTTTTGTTTACTAAACACCAAAAAGAATGAAGATAACACTGTTGTGAGGGTAGGTGCTCAGGAAGAGGACTCTATGCTCACTAATTGGGCAAAAGGTGGGTAGGATTTCAAGAATTCTTATTCTCTATTTCATGTATGTGGTATCTACAAGTGAAATAAAGAAAAGAAAGGAGAGAAAGGGAATAGAACTAGTAGTCTGTAGGAACAAACCCAGACTGACTACAGTTAAGTGACTCCTTAAAAGGAGATTACAAAATAATAACTAGTATTATTATTAATGAATGAGGGTTGGATCCAAGACCCTCCTTTAATCTTCTGTTGACTGAGTTAAAGGGTGAGATAAAGATCACCAAACTAGTTGTTCTTATGGTCACTAACCTAGGGTTGTTCTTATGGTCACCAACCTGAAAGTTTTTCTTAAGGTCACTAACCTGGGGCTGTTAGAGGTCACCAACCTAGTTTGATTTCTACTTGGGGGAAGTAGAGGATCCAGAGGGATGTGAAGGAATGTATTACTTACTTTTAATCAGGAAGCTGATTAAAGTTGTAAGAAGTTTATCACTAGTCTTATCTTTGTAAGACTCTTGATATTTACTTCTGTAGAACTTTAATATTGTTCTTTAAAAGTGTAGTGTAATAATTGCTTGGGGAAATTCTCTGAAGGCTGAGAGAGGAGGGGTTTATATACCTTCCTCTCTAAACCTAACTGTGGTGATATTTGTGATTATCACTACATTGGTTCAGGGTTGATCATTAATATATGTTAATGATTATTACTAGTAATGCTTAATTACATATACATGTTATGTATAATATGTAATATAAGCATTTTAACTCTTGACACTGAGTTTTGAGGTGTAAATGGTGTTTTGTTACATATTACATGTTGTTTTAAGTGTACATGTGTATGTAATGAGTGTTTTGGTACATTGTATTACATGTTACATATAGTCTAAACTCAATATGTACATGTAATTTAATTTATACATAATATTTTTAATGTTACAAGTTAGTTTTGGGTACATGTATATGTACTCAGGGCTGACAACTGTAAACATGGGAAAATGATGATTAGTGTAGTTTGTCATCAAAAGATCTATCACTGCACACCTGAGCCATAACACCCAAACTACATTATATATGTGCAACAAGTTGGGTAAATTGTTAGCTATCATGTACATACAGTTCTACTCAGTTCCCTGCTCATCTGAATGGTGGATCATATGTAATACCTCCTGTAATTTTTTTCAGTTTGACAAAAGCATTCAAAGAATTCACTACATACACTGACTCATAGTTTTGGTGTGATTCTATTAACTAAACCTCATGTAACACCCTTTTTGTTACTTTTGAATGGCTTTCAGAGTATTACACAAGTAGCTATGGAGGTATATGTAGTCAATTTTTGGGACTGTTTTGTCAAACTGGAAAAAGTTACATGATGTATCACATGTGACTTACTTCTTCAGACAAGCAGGGAACTGAGCCAACCTGTATGTACATGATAGCCAATAGTTTACTCAGCTTGTTCCACATATGTAGTGTGGGTGTTATGGATCAGGCGTGTAGTGATAGATCTTTTGATGACAAACTACAATAATCATCATTTTCCCAGTTCCACTTGGGGATAGTGTATAATGTTTATGGTGTAACTTATTACACTCTGATGAACCATCAATTAACACACTTACTTGAGATTACATGATACTTATTTCTATCCCTGAAGTTCACATGCTGTCCACAATCAATCAATCAAGCAGATTCAAGAAATTGGAAGCTTGCACAAATTCTGAATGTCTTATTACATAAATATTTAGGATAATACTAAACCCAGCCTGGTCCTTGTACTACCTCTGACCACCTGGATTTCATCTGTATCTAATCTTGATCTCACACTATCCCATGGGGCTTGACATTTGGGGTGGTCTGTTGAAATTTTGTCAATTTCATGTTGTGACCGTCTGCTTGTCAATTTGTTGATTTGAGATTTTGTGTCCATGAGAGGCCTGAATCATTTGTACTCCCCTCTAGGGAGGAAGCGTGGTATTAGGGAAAGTTGTAAGTTTAGAAGATTGGGTGGGTCGCCTGTGTGTGTCAATCATGATCCAGCAACAGACAACACCAGCTACGTACCATTGCAAGTCATGAGCAAAATCAAAAAAAGACCCAGTAAAACAAGCAGCTTTGAGAGAGCAAGAGACAAAGCACTCAAACTTTGACAACAAGAGATGGAAGAGATGCACCCACCAAGCCTCAGCAATGTTCAATGTCTATGATGTAGTACATAGCCTATGGACTGATGATGTAAACACACGCACATGGCGGATGCGCAAAAACTTACAACAAACCAATATCTTGATTGAGCTCAACCTGAAGATGGCAAATGTCAGACGTCTGCTAAAGGCAACAAAGCATTAGCCAATGTTGATGTCTTCACAAAGAAATGGTAGTAAGGCCATTTATCAGATGATGAATCATGTCTTTGAGCATATTGAAGTTCATGAACTTCAGACACTTTAATTTCTAACAAGAGAGTCAATGAGAGGTTTTTTATTTAACTAGAGGACAGAAGGATGCTGAATTTCAGTATTAGGAGCCCATTGCTTTTTGACTGATTGCAGACTGGCTAGAAGTCAACTTTCCTAGAAATCAAAAGGGAGGCACTAAAACCCATGGGGTTTGTATAGCAATGGCAAAAATAATGCAAGATTCAACACAGTATGCTGTGCACAACATACCAACCTCATCAGCTGTGATTTCATCCTTGTCTGAATCATGAACAGGACCAGAATCTGGGGAGGTTATGTGTTCAAAACCCTGTGGAGGCTGAGCTGGCATGTTTTTCTTTGCCTGCTAGTTGTTTGGTTTGGTTTGAAGTCTTGGCTTTCATTTGATTTCCCTAGCTCTTTCTTGGATGATTCACACTTCTTATTATAAAGTCTTTGAGCATCTACATCACAGATGTTAAGATTCAAGTGGCTCAATTTGATTGGGCTGGTAGTAATGGATAAATATATTCTTGGGGTCACAGCTTCCCTGGCAGACCAGAGATTACATATATCAGACTGATTGCCTGCTCAATCACCCATGCCCAGTGATCACTCAATGGATCTGACACATGCTCTATCACTTCAGTTCAAGCTAAATTGTAAAATGACAAGAGGTATAACTATCAGGTTGATCACGGCTTTGATGACAGGATCCATATGGAAAGACAAAAGAAAGGCTATAAAACTTTGGAAAGCAAGTATATATCTGTAGATATATCAAGCAACATACATCAAATCACAAATTGATCTACACTTCAAATATACACATATGCAAGTAAAGAAACTCCCAACCTCTCCCATACCCTACTCCATTCTCTTCCTCCTTTCTAAAACATAAAAAAGCCAACATGAGGTTTTGTGTACAAATGATAATTTTGAAAAAAAAAGTTTTCAATGTAAGTCTGCATCAAGTCCTAGGGTTTCTAACTGCTTCTTCAAAAAGGTATTCCATGTATCAACTAGGTTGAAGTGGTAGAGAGCTGCCAGTCTTTGTGGTCGAAGATCAGTCTCTTCCTTACGTGCGAGCTTCTTTCTCATCACTTCCAGTTTGGAGGTCTCCTTCGAAACTTTCAGACGCAATTTTCCACTTTGAAATATCGGAAGAAGCGCATCATATGCCTCTTTGGCACTAACACTCTCATTCACTATAAATTCTCGATGTACCTGTTGGATCTTTTCCAATTCTGTTTCTTTCAATTGTGACATCAATAGAAGTAGCTGAATCACTGTAGCTCTTCCGAATCCAAGGGCTGTGATCAATCCTGAGACTTGTTCAAAGTTGACGCTTCCCCCGATCTTGTGCATAATTTCTCTGGAGACTAATTCAGCACATCTCAAAACTAACAATTCATCTTCGTCACTCATACTACCTCGATATCCTTTAACACCATTCAGCCTCAAAGTTTCTGGTACAACCCTTAATGACTCCTTATCTTTTATAGCCAATAGCATAACCAACCACTCCTTTCTAGAGACAAAGTCGCTCCTCTCCTGAGCTTCGCTCAGTACGTATATTTCACCTATGGTCAAACAGTTTCTGCTTAATCTATAGTAAAGAGAGCTTTGCTCATTGGAGGATGACATCTCGAATAACGCCAGTTCAAGTTTATTCATTCGACCTATGATTTTATAAAGGTAATCTTGCGCAATTGAATGAACAGTTAGGGCTTCTAAAGGGCTGAGTTTTTCATCTTTTAATAGTTTTGCAAGGAGATCTTTAGATCCCTTCCTGATAGGAATCATAAAGTCCTTTGACCTGGCAATTTGAAGCATCTCGATCGCAAGCTGATTGTCTTCCATAGCTTTGATCTTGTCACTTGCCTTCTCTACAAAACCTTGAATCTCTTGTCTCTCCCTTTCAGTTAAAGCAAATCGGTATTTAGTCACTTTGTCCTTCATTCTACTTCTTACATTGCGCATAGTAGCAACCATGGCCTTCGTCAGTGTTGCTGCCGGTGCTGGTTTCAGTGCGCTTCCCGATGCTTGAAGAGGTGAGGGTTCAAATTTCACTTTCCGTGCTCTCTGTCTGCGTAATCGCATCATTTTCAGTTGATCTAAGCCTTCGAGGTCTTTTCTGAGCCTTTCCACAGAGGTCTTCATCACAATGATTGCATCTTCATCGGTACGTTTATCAACTCTTCTGACAAGCTCCTTTACCAAATCTTCAGATCCATCCTTATAGACCCACGGTCTGGAACTGTAAATGTATCCAACGACTTCATCCAAAAAGTCACGCGAGTCGTCATCAAAATCAGGACCCGAATCGTTCTTATTTTTGATCAGATAGAGTTCAGCTTTTTGTAAGTTGATGAAGGTCTCATTGAACCCAACTTTTTCCAAAACTTTTTTCAAATTTTCTCTTTGTATGTCAGATAATTCAATGGAAGTTCTGGCCATATTTTGAAGATCTTCCAACATACCCCAAACAGTGAAAGTCTCATCCTGATTTAAATCTAAATTCCTTTCAACTTTTTTAAGAATCCAATTAGTCTTTGCCAATCTTTTCTCCATCCAATGGGACAAATATTCTTTTGATTTGAGTAAACCAAATCTCTTTCTGCCTTTTGTATCAAGTAATTCTAGTATTATATCAATTGTTGGTTCAAGTGCCACAGAATCAATCACAGAGACTTCAATTTCGTTCCTTGGAGAAAAATTGAGGTTCAGGAGGCTTTGCTCTAAAAGCCGTTTGTGAGAGCGGATGATGGTTTTTGCGTCTTCTGGTAAAATATTTCGACGCATTTGGGCTCTTTTGGTTAGCTCTGTGACTATAGGGTCTTTAAAATCAATGGTGAACTTCTTATATAACGAGATGATAAAGCTGTTGAATCTGTCTTCGAGTCTCAAACCCTCGTCGTTCATGTCCATGAGCTCTTTAAGAGCGATACAGATCGGGGAGCTTCCCTTGTATGTACCCATAAGCTCCAGCTTGTCGAGGTATTGCAAAGCCTTCTTCCGACGAAAATTGGCTGGAGAGAATATCTTCAGCGTCTTCCAATAAATGAATCTTAAGAATCGCGACCAATGAGACAGACCCCCATTTCTCTCGTCGTAGGGAGTATTTGCAAGCCTGACTTTTTTAACAATCTTGTTCCAAATTTTCTGACTCATTTCGTCAGTGAGTTCAACCTGTGTCGCCGCCTTCAAGAACTTTTTCTTGATGTCTTTCTTATTGTTTGCTTCTTTTAAGACTATGGACTCGAATTTACGAGATAATCTCTGATATTCTTCCAATATATCAAGATTGAGTTTCTCATAACTGTTCCGCTCCTTCTCCAGTGCTTCTAAATCAACTCCTATGGTTTCCAGTTCATCAAACCAGCTTTGATGATCCAAACTCATCCAATCTTTTACCATTTCGATCTCGCTCTGATGAGTGAATTCTGCCGTTCGGTCTATCGCTACCCCCGTTTCCGATTTTGTTGAATGTGATTGAAAGAGATGATCCGCGTGATCCTGTTTAAAAAATTGTTTGGAAAACTGGCTATTCGGTGAATCTATATTGTTCGCTTGATCATGCATCAATTGCTCAGAGATCTCTTGTGCCCTGATTCTGCTGTCAGGAATCTTGATGTTGAGCTTAGGTTGTGCGAGGATCAGGGGAAGGCTTAGAAGGAAAAGAGCGTAGAAATGACGATAGCCCAGCATCTCCATCTTGGTAGAAGAAACCATCATGATGAATGATTTGCAAGTGATCAAAAGAGAATGATTGGGGAATTGGATGGATGACTAGATTATTTCATGTGTGCCGCGATGTATGTTTCCTGTGTGCCGCGATGTATGGAGATGACTTACAAAGTTCAAGTTTCCATCAGACATGTATGTATTTCATCATGTGCCATTCCATTCATACGCAGCTACAAACCGGGCGTGAGGAGCATATTTGCCATTGAGCACTTGAACGTAAAGCACAATTGAGCTGGGTTCCTTCCGACCTTGTATTCAACATATATAGGAGTACGAATCTCCGCTATGATCAGTACTCGCAGCCTGCTCTCCAGGCTGCCTTTATTCAAGATCCTGAACAGTCTGGTTCCTCACTGCCAGTGCCAACGAGCGCATCAAAGCCCCTTGCTCCTCGCTAGGCCCCGGCTAGGCCCCGGATAGGGATGAGTGATGACAAATGTAAACTGTGGTGTATATGTAAAATTTGTTTGTTGTACCAACATACATTGGAATTTGTATTACTTTTGCTAAAAACCTTGGCCCGATCAAGAAAAAATAAAACAGAATTAGACCCAGAATTCACCGCAGCAGAGAGAAAAAAGTTTGAGGGTGCTGTCACACGTGGTGCGACCTCCATTCCATTCCACTGGCCCGTCACTCATCTCTTGGGTCTAGTTCACCCTCACATGGCCATCTCTTTTGTCGCACACTCTGGCAAGATGAGCTTGTCAAACTTTTGGTAAGTCACTCTACGTGCTACATTATAAATAACATCTTATTCATCATCTATTGGGGTACTTTCTAACAACCTTCCATATCGTTTGATTCAGATGACCGTCCTCGCAACACAGTCTGATATCAGTGATTGGTCCACCTAGCTTTGTCTCACCATCACCTCACCAGCTCTTCCTTCCCACACTCTTTTGCGATGGGTTTGAGGTGTTGGATTGATTTGTGAAACCTCTCTGTCTGTACTACTCCTCATATGTTGATAACGAGCAGAATTTTTGTTAACAGATGAAAATAAGAGATGAGATGAAGATAAGAGATGACAAGCTTTTATGAAGAAGGGCAAGTTGATTGAGAGGTATCTTACATATCTCCAACCTGTCCGGTGCGAGCTCTGCTGAATACCAAAAGTCTGAGATGAAATAATTTATGAAAGATATCCAAAACGTGAGTGATTTTTCAACGTAGTCGAGATTGTCAGAATCATCGATTGGTCATGAAAAATATCACAGCCAATCAATTCCGATTGATTCTCCTATGAGGCAATCCTATGATTGCAAGCTGAGAACCATCTCAGATCTCTTATGAGGGCAATAAAAGATATCATCGGGCTTCAAGTTATCCAAACCCATTCGATTCGTCTATGGTCCTATGAACAGGATCAAAAACCATTTCAGTTTTCTTGAAGACATTCAAAGTCAAAAATCGATTGGCTTTGCTTAGTCAAAACCAATTGACCTTCCTATCTTCCTATGAGGAAGATTTTGAACAATCTCAGCTCTCTTGTGTCATCTAGAGACTGATGTTTTTGAACAAGACCAAAACTGATCGATCCGCTTGTAATCCTATGAAGAAGATTGAAACAATTTCAATTTTCACACCACTCTTATCTACAATTCATCGATTCTAATTCCTATACAATCACAATCTTTGATAACTACAATTCATTGATTCTAAATGATCAAGCGTATCTTCAAATATCTGAAAACTACAACGATGGTACAATTTGTGTGTTAATTCCGTTTGATTGGATTTGACCTAGTAATTAAAAGATGTGATCTCCAGACATCAAACTTTGACATATTGAATCCAAACTCGAAAGGGTTGAACTTGGGACAGTATGATGGTAGTTATTGGAGAAGATACCTAGAAATGTTGTTGGGGATTATCAGCAAGTTGAATGAAATGCACTGAAAAGACAAATGGAGGGATTAATGCAAAAAAGCGTACCTTTTTCCTTACAGAGACCAGCCATCAATTGTCCACACTGGATAGGACACATTTCCAGGATGCGAGAAGCAGCGGGGGATTGAGTTTGGTGAGGAAAACGAAGTGCTGGCAGGGATTTTGAGAATATGAACAAATTTTGGCGGCAACGGGGGAATCAAAAGGACCGAATAGGAGGGAGATCACACCACATGTGACAGCACCCTCAAACTTTTTTCACTACACCAAATGTAATCTTTACCGGGCGGTAAAGAAAACTACTGACATAGAAAAGTCCTGAGGCAACAGGAAGAGAGCTAAAAATCTGAAAAAATATGCACCTTGTTCCTAGATGTTGGGGCGTCATGATGAGTATTTTTTTGTATTTTACACACAGATATTGGTTTATGTACTAACAACAAACGCTGAAAATCATCAAAAACGCACATGTAACAATACCTGAAATTTGGGTCATGAGTATGAAGACAATATTTTGTGGTCTAAAAACTTCAATAACTTTTGCAATTCTGCTCCAAATAACTCGATTTTTGGTTCATTCAAAAGCTGAACTATTCTCCTTCACACTTCATAATGTCAGTAAGGTTCTATCTAGTCATTTAAACACTCTACATATGTTCAAACAGTTCTGCATGAATAGCTCTGTAGGATCTTTTTTAGACCAGCTACAGATGTGATGTCCCAATGAAAAATGTAGAGGAAAGGCTCACCTTTTTAATGCACTTCAAGTCGAGTGATTTGATTCAGAACTGCGAAAGTTATTGATGTTTGAAGATTCCAAAATCCTGTCTTCAAAATCAAGGGCCAAATTTCAGGTATTGTTACAGGTGGGTTTTTGATGATTCTCAGCCTTTATTGTTAGTACATTAACCAATATCCGTGTGTAAAATACAAAAAAATACTCATCATGACGCCCCAACATCTAGGAACAAGGTGCATATTTTTTCAGATTTTTAGCCCTCTTCCTGTTGCCTCAGGACTTTTCTATGTCAGTAGTTTTCTTTACCGCCCGGTAAAGATTACATTTGGTGTAGTGTTTCTCTCTGCTGCGTTGTGGCTGCTGCGGTGAATTCTGGGTCTAATTCTGTTTTATTTTTTCTTGATCGGGCCAAGGTTTTTAGCAAAAGTAATATCAGAAGTCATGACCAAGCGACCAATCCATTTGTTAAGTTTGCCAATCCATGGTCTCTCTATATAGCTTCAACTTCGGTGCGACCTCTTCGTGGCTGACTAACAGGCCCGCCAGCAACTCCAGTGACGGAAACATCACGGTCGATTCCAAAAAAAAACTTTGACCGGAATGCCCCGACATCCTGCTCGAATTCCGCGAACAAATTTAGCCAAGCGATGTGACATCGACTGTTGCGTTTTCAATTTTGTACAAAGCTACGGAAATCCCCACATACGGTTCATAAGAAGGGTTCTAGAGAGCGCAAGAGGGCTGCGTAAGGTGATGCTCACCTTTTGTACTCTTTGCGAAGTTTTGAAACGCGGCAGAAAGCCTGTTTTCAAGCCGCATATCATATATATCAAGCAACCGAAGTCCATTATAAATGATCAGATCCTACTGCATATAGCCCTCGAGGCTCGACTGCGGGTGAGCTCTGGCTCAGCCGTATCCTCAGCCTATGTAACCCGACAAGTTTTATAGACTACGCAAGGATTTTTGATGGTGAACGCTGTACTGGATCTGGACGCTTTCTTGCATTGCTGCGTGGAGCCTTAGACTGTATCCCTGTCTTTGCCGTAAATTTTGATCATAAACCTTTCGGTTTCTACAGAAGTTTTCTTTTCCGTCTCTCCATCAAAAAGCATTTATCGTTCGAAATCTTTTCATATACTCGTCCTTTATTTCTGGCCTCCCCCCAAGTGCTTTTCTTCCTTCAATCATCATAAAAATTACTCTCACAAGAGTGGTTCACACTTCAGTCATTCATCAATCGAAGATTGAGACCCACTTCAGTGAAGGATTCTACATCTGAGTGAAAATAGGTGCGAATTGCTGGCGTCACTATCATTACCTCAAACCGTCAAGCTGATTGTTTTCCTTGAAAAAGATGATGTTTCCAATCCTCAGACAATGGCAGCACCAAGGGGTCCTCATGACTTTTTTACTTCTGATGATCATCAAAAGGAGATGTGTCATGGGGCTCCCAGCGGACATAGGCGAAATCGCTGCTGGGGAGGAGATGGCGAAAAATTTGGGAGAAATAACTGGCGCCCACGAAGGGACGCATAGCGACGTTCTTCACCACCTACAAAACTCGGATCACCAGCAGGACTTGAACTTCGACTCGCAGACAAGAGATCATGGAAAGGCTTCGAATCACGAAGATGACTCTTCCTCATCTTCTCATGAAGATGACGATACTTCATCGTTAGGTGCAGACACAGCTTGGTTCGATGGAGACTTGCCATCTGTTTCTGCTGGAGAGCATGACCAACACATGGAAGAAGCCATCAAGAACTGGAGATCAGTAGATCACCAGCAAGCCGATCAAGAAATCAACGACAAGACCAACGAATTGATCAAACTAAGAAATAAACTCCAACACTTCCAAACAGAAGAAAAGGCGAATCTGGTCAGAGTAGATGATATACATCGTAAGGCATCTGAGAAGCTTATAGAAGAATTGAAAAGAGATCCTAGTTTGAAGAAAAAGCTGTCCACACAAGAGGGCAATTTGAAGGATAGCGAGGATCCTTCGGTACAATCATGGTTAGATATAGTAGCAAGGGTAAAACTATTCAAGAAACCTTCGGAAAAACCAGCTTTTGTGAAGTGGTTGATCAGATCCTTCTGGGAAAACCCACGTGACCTTGTTATGAAAGTCTTTGGAGGTAAATACTATCGAAGTTGGGCGGCATGGAGATACCTAAACAGTATGGTTTCTGATAAAACTTTCAGGAGTCGTGAAGATATTCAAGAAGCTCTCGAGATATTTCAAAAATTGGGAAAATCAAGATTGACCGACAATCAGAACAAACTAATCATTCTGTTAAAGGAAGAAGGAATACAAGCGGTTGAAGAGAAACATAAAACACTTATTGCTGAGGCCTCTCGACTTGGTTTCGAAGAAAACATGATAATTCCGAAAGATGCCAGGGAAATTGTACAGCGACATATGAAATACTTAATCAACATGGTCCATAGTGCTCATTTCTCGGATGATGATAAACTGGAGTTAGCACGTCTGACTATCGAACCATCGCCTACAAAGAACATAGAAAAGTTAGAAATTCTACAGGCCAAAGAGGGTGTCTCAAAAATGATCTACGATGAATTGGAGAAAGCAGCGTATATACAGGAAAAGTTGGTCGGTCATCATGAGTTGACACCTGATCAAAAGATACTTTTGAAGCATATTTACAACCATCCTGAATCGTTTCATATCGTCCCAGAAGAACTATCGGAAGCGGAAAGCAACCTTCTATCGGAAATTTCACATTTGTATGAAACACGTCGTCGATGCATTAATGAACAAAAGGCGGAAGTACAGCTTTTGAAGGAGAGGATGAAAAACCAGGATCATTTCGCTTCCCGAAAAGCTGGACGCTTGGCACAAATAAAAACAAATCACGGTGATAGAAATGGACCCGTACTGATGGATGATTCAGATATTGAGGTGATGGAAGGATTAGCTCAACAAGCAGATGAAGAAAGTCGTAAGATCAAGATTCCGTCTACAGAAATCACAAAGAGCGGCGAAATTTTGGTGGATCGATCCAAAGAAAACATCGTCGTTTTGGAACCGAAAGTAACCAGCCAAAATCAAGACGTGAAGGCTATAGAGATTTTGGAAGGTCTCGGTGCGGAAGGTGCTTTGAAGACCGAAGTGGACTTGATTGTTCGAAAGCTCGAAAACCGACCGTTTGTCTTGACAAAAGGCGAACAAGATCGCGTTCTTTATGCAGCTGAAGAGGCCAAGAAAAACGTGGGCAAAGAACCGGATGTCGAACTTGCGCGGGATATGCTTGAGCTCAGTTCAAAGAATCATTTCTTCCCTGATGCATTTAACACCCCAGGACTTAATCAGAAAGGTACTCTTCAGAAGATACTACGGGGAGAGCCCCTGTCGCTAAGAGAGTCTGTAATGGCGAACTCACTGGCAGCCGCATATCGTCAACACATAGTTGACCGGATGACTGAACCTGAACTGGCTCTTCTATCGGTTCGCAAATTCAAGCACACGATGCAGCATCTATCTGAAGGAGAGACGAACGCCCTGTTAGAACGGATAGAGCGATATTCTCTTGGTCCAGACGAATATTTTACAATTTTGATGGCGCTGGAAAAGAAAAAATACTTTACCTCAGATCAATGGTTCCTGTCCTTCGTGAGCCACGCAGAGAGTTCCGGTACGGAAATTTCTCCAGAGCTTGCGGAAGTCAAGAGTGGGTTGGAAAATTCGATTCACCTGAGCCCTCACCTACAAGAAGTGCTTGATCACTTCAATGTAAACGTGAAACTGGCAATTGTGAAACAACTTGAGGAAGAGGGTTCTGAAGAAGGGCGTTTCCTCGATGAAGCTATGGGTATTATTGGCTCTGCCGCGATTGGTACCACAGATCTTGAAAGGTTGCAGCTGATCTCACAAATGAATGCACAAGAAATTCGAGCATTATTCGAACATCAAGACAAGTATGAAGACTTGGACAAGTTAGTCAAGGAGGCTCAACGCAAACTGTCCTTGGTAAAAGAGTATGATCAAAGAATGCACATATTTAGTAAAGAACAGCAATCACTTGAAGAAAAAGTAGACGCTCAACGTTCACTGTCAGAACTAAGCTTTCAAAACTTGGAACAAACAAAGCACATCTTCAATGAAAAGCTGAAGTCTCTGGGTATTGATCATCATTTCTAGCGTGACATATCCATCGGTCTGCTTAGGTTGTGACAAGTCTTTTCATACCTTTCCATTGAATTCCGAGGATGTGATCTTATACTCAGATTGAAGCTTGGCCTCATATCTATCCGCTGCTCCAGAGTTTGTTGATAGATTGTAGGAAGATATGTAGTTCCTTTCATTGTTTTTTCCTCATCTCTACAGAAGAATGATTATGTGATCATGTTATGTAAAGATTCCATCACTAGGTCAAGATCATTCATTTTGAGATCAAATCTCTAAAATAGCATTTTGTTCTATGCATTCTTTCCACAAACCCCCAAAGGTCTAGGAAATTAATTGTGGCTGTCCATAGGGTCACTGTAATAAACAGAACATACCAAAAACAAGACTCATTCCAAATTGTGTGATTTTTGAAAGGTCCAAGTTGGACAATTTGTGTTTTTGAGCCATTCCTGGATTATGTACTCAGTACAAAAGCTGAGAATCAGATGACTGTGAATAAGTAAAATGTCTGTTTGATGGCCAAACTTTGAGTCTGGGGTGGAGTAGTTTTTAGTACCTGCTCATTTAATTTGATCGCCTCTTGCACAAGGGACGAAGTGCTAGATACGTCCATGGATGAGTAACGTTGTGTGAAGGAAATGACCAATGGGGGGAAGTTTCCATTAAAGGACGAATCCGGGTTAAATTACTACACTAGACATATGTGAGAACAGGCTTGAGTCCGCAAGTCTTACACCTACCTAAGAGGTGGCATACCCGGATTCCCAAAGACTTCCCTCTGCCCATTCGGAAACTTAGTTCCAAATTTCCAGAGGAAGTCGAAAGACTATCCTAATCTCATCACTTGAGGAGAACAAGCGTTACAATCAATTCTTATCATTTATTAACTAACTAACTAATAATTTTTTCTCCAGCCCACCCACCCTCAAGAATTCATCAAACACACGAATATTACAACAAATGGAGGAGAGCAAAACCAGACTTCCTAAGTTTCAGAGAGAGTTCTCCTAAAAGTCAGGAGAGATCTCGGGAGCAAGTCTCTCGCGCTCCTCCGTCGCGACCAGGCGTCAAGAAGGAGAGTTCCTAAGGATTTCTCCTCTGTGAGGCGCCTAACTCCCATTGTACTACCTTACCTCACCTAGGATTAAACCTAGGCAAGGTAAGGCTTTGCCCTAATTGTTAATAAAAAATGATAATGTTATAAGATTAAATGGAACACTACGGTATAAAGTTTCTCACTGTCCATTCTAGCAATCAATGCTTATCTTCTACAAATGTTCATGATCCACTGTGAACATTATTCAACTTCCCCAAGTGGAAATGGGAAAACAATTAGGAGTTGGAGTATGGTTTAGCATAAAAGGATCCATCACTTCACACCTGAGCCATAACACCCACACTACATATGTGCATCAGACTTAGTGAATAGGTGGCTATCATGTACATACATGTCTGCTCAGTTTTATGCTCAACTGGATATGTGAATCATATGTAATACATGCTGTAATCTTTTTCAGCTGGGCAAGCCCATTGAAAAAGTCACCACATACACTGACTCAAAGTTTTGGTGTAATTTAATCAAGGCTGTGACCCAGCCCTGGCCCCGGCTGGCTCAGTCTGCCCAAAATCTTTCTGGAGGCACATGGTACGTGCCCTGACACACATGCTTGGGGTGATGAAAGCCCTGTGGGCAGCTCAGGTGGGGCCGGGACACTCAAGACCCGCTGTCTTTTTGCTGTGTTGACAAAATCTTTCTTTCTAAATTTCCTCCTATAGCTTTTTGATTTTGATGTAGGCTCATATAGCTTCCACAAAGCATCACACACACACAAACTTGCAATAAAGTTCACAATAATCACTGTATTGCCCAGTTTTAGCACCTATAATCAGGTGTGCCCTGGTTGGCCCTGAGCACTTTCTGAAGGCCCTTGGGTCTAGTCAGGGTCAGGCAAAACTCAGGGCCGGGTCACAGCCCCACTTTGGACTATGTTGTGTTTAGCTCTCATTTTGGAACACAAAGATTTCTCATTTTATAACACTTATCCTTAGTTTACAGTGGCTCTAAAGTTCCACTTGAGTCACATTGTCAAAACTGTCAAGATTGACCTTCCAGACACCAAAAAAGGTCTGCTGACCAAGTGCCAACCCTGGCCAACCCTGTTTGGTCAAATAATTGGATTCTCCATTGCCATCTCATCATTGACTTCAGCAGAGTAAGGAAAAAGATTGTTAGACTTGTTGAAGTACGATGAGCTCTAAAATCAAGACAATAGGGGGTTTCAAGTCAGAAATTTTTTGTGAAACTTTTTGAAAAACGGACAAGTTTTTTAACCTTCCAGTGTTTTTTTCTGCAAATTTACGGTCAACAGCATCCAGGACACCTAAAAAGGTGTCCCAATCTTTCTTCAAATTTACAGTATATTTTGCAACATTGGACAACTTGTTTGACTTAAAATACCATAAATTTCTTGACTTGAAACCCCCTAATAATGAAGCCCTATAGGAGTAATAAAAACAGACTCTACAGGAATACAACGAATATGAATTGAACGGATTCATTTTCTTTGACAATAGGGGGTCTCAAGTCAAAAAAAATTACAGTATTTTGCAGTACAACAAGTTGTCCAAGACTGTAAAATGTCACGTAAATTCCAAAAATTTGGGACACCTAAAAAGGTGTCACAAATGCTGTTGACTGAATACTTGCAGAAAAAAAACACCGTAAAATTTTGAAAACTTGTCTATTTCATAAAAATTTCCACAAAAGTATCCTTACTTGAATTCCCCTAATTTCATTTCAGGGATCCTTCTACTTCCCTTATCTTTCTCTTGAAAAATGTTGGTCTTCCTAGAACTTGAAGGTATCCCATCTCTTTCAGCTCATAAACATACCATACCTTACTTGGAAATCACTCATTGAGACAATTTAGCTGGATGTCCGGCAAGAAATCAAACATTCACTGCATTTTTGTCAATGTCCAACTTACTTGAACAAGATGTTCAGATACTTAAATTACTTATTCTCTCATTTTAATCTCTCAATCCTTGAAATTTTTGAATATTGACAAAATAATGTGCTGATAAGATCAAAGGGATCCTTGATGAGATTGAGGATTGCCACGGGGCTGGTAAGCACCTGTTCACCAGGGCTTATTTTGGGACAGGAAGGTCATTTTTGTCAATTTTGACAATGTGACTCAAGTGGCACTATAGATATAAAGCATCCCCAGTGGTGCTCGTATTCTGCGGGCTCTCAACAATACAGGCAATGAAAACCTCAAAAAACACTGCAGCGGACCTCACAAAATGTGAGGTGGGACGTCAAGAGTCTCCAAATTTTCATCGAGAGTCTCCACACTTAGGGGGCAATCAAGAATCTCAATGACACATGCACCCCCAGTATTGCAGTTGAGTAGATATGTCTTTGAGTACAAGCATATAAAAAGACTCCAATTGCAGGATTTGCATAAATTTAAGTGCTCCGTTGTACAGACACACTTTTTTGACTCCCTACATTTGAAAATTATTTTGGGGGGTCTGTTTGGGAGCCCCCAAGACATGAGCTCTGTTGGAGATTCTCTTAGAGCCATCATATTATTTCTCATTCTATGGTATTTATTTGTAGTTCACACTTTCCCATTCATCCTTTCTTTTTCAAACAATCTCATCTTAGGTCTCTTCCTTTATTCAAGACTTTGACCTGGTGTGTGGGTGTGTAGGCTGTGGACTGCCTGTCACAGAAAGGTTTTAGCCGTGTCTCTACTCCCATGATTGTCTCTCTGACCTATGCTCATCTTGTGCTTTCTAGTTTGTTGCCATTGGACCATATCTGATTCTGTTTTTTAGCTTACATACTCTACTATTCCTGCCCATCTATTGTAAGGGTTGGAGGCACGGTTCTTGAAAATTCAAACTTGAGGTATGTGTGATGAGGCGCACAGAGATTGTGAAGATGAAAAGTTTCACAGTCTGTATCTTCTCTCATGTCAGGGCTGGGGGCTCCGGGTTCCTCCCGGCCCCGTCTTCTTGTTCTCATCCACCTCGTCTCGGGTCCTGATGGGCCTCACCAATGTTGTCGTTCCTTTGGCCACCAGCGCCAATTCCACTCTAGCTCACACTGTTCCTGAGATCAGCTTCTTTTTCTGAAACTTTTCAAGCATTAAAGCCTCTTGAAATCCTATTTCAAAATCCTCAATACAGTACATTCCCTCTGCCAAACCTCTGTAGTTTGACCATTTTCACTCAGAGATAAATTATAATTTCCCCCTAATTTGTCCATAGGCAAACAGTTTTTTTGTTTATTTAAACACTTTTCAAGAAGTAGAAGAAAAAAATAAAAGAACAGGATCACAGACTAGAAGTATGAGGTATGAGTATATCTGATGTTACAAGAGGATCGATCACATACAAAGAAGAAACAAATCATTGAAAAAATAACTGATCATCAAACTAAACTAAACTAAACTCAATCACCTTCAATACCCATAACCAAAAAAAATCCAAAAAACAACAAACAAAAGATATCGGAAAATCCCACAATGCTAAAAATTAATTCAAGCCAAATAAAACCATGAAATCTGAGCTCCAGAGTAACTTGATCAGTTCGATTCGTTTTTGTTGAGTGCCGATGGTGGATCAAGGCACGTTAGCTAATAGGATCCCAAGTCGTAGAGTGACAATTGCATAAGTACCTGTTGAGTGCCGATGGTGGATCAAGGCACGTTAGCTAATAGGATCCCAAGTCGTAGAGTGACGAGGGATCTAGCTACTCCGCCATCGGCACTGAGCTAAACACTAACTACTACATGTCACATAGGTGTATCCTAGTGAAAGCCACACACAAGTTCGCACACACATAAGTAGAAAATAGACAGAACATCAACACCCCCCCCTTTCACTAGCGATGCACATCACCCATTCATACAAAGTAAAGGTTTGAAAAAATTAAAAAGAACATGTCCAAGCGGTTTCGTCATGATATCCGCCTTCTGATTCCTCCCATCAATCCATAA